GTTGCTTTGGGACTGGCTTCCCTGCTGCTTCATGGAAGAAAACACCTGGGCGGCCCTGCCAGTCTGGGCGCTCCGGTCGCAGGCGCTGATCACGGTGCTGTAGGTGCCAGCGTCGGGCGCGACCCCGAGACGCCGCATCTCCGAGTAGAGCTCCGTAACCTTCTGAGGGTACTTGTCCTTGCAAGCGCTGATGAGAGCGCCGAACGTGTAAGAGTCCGCCTGGATGCCGCGCTCCCCCATGTCCTTGTAAAGGCCCAGAGCCTTGTCGGCCTTGTCCACGCTCTGGCTCCAGGAGCACGCATGCATCAGCTTGCCGAAGGTGATGTAGTTGGGCTCGATCTGGCTCGCTTTCATGGCCTCGTAGAACTCCCACGCCTTCTCGGGGTGCTGGGTCTGACCCATAGCACCGATGAGCGAGGTGTAGGTCACCACGGTCGGGGTCAGACCGTTCGATCGCATCTCCTCCCAGACCTCGAGCGCCCTCTCCGGATGACTGCCCCGCCCACACGCGCTGATAAGGGCGTTGTAAGTGACCGCGTTCGGCGTGCACTCCTGCGCCTTCATCTCGTCGAACAGCTCCATGGCCTTCTCTTGCTGCTTGCCCTTGTCGCATGCGCTGATCAGGGCCGTGTACACGCTCGTGTTCGGGGGGATAGAGCGTCGCCGCATGTCGTCCAGCAGATCCAGCGCTTCGCTCCACCGCCTGTTCTTGGCGTGCTCCGTAATCGTCCGCACGTACCCCTGGCAAATGGCTTGACCTCGACGTCTGCCCGAACGGGTCGCGTGCCAAAACTCCCCACCCCTCGATCTGAGCGCGCCCCCGATCGATGCTGTGACCACGTGGTCCGCGGGCAAGTCGCGTACAAACTGAGCCAAGCCGAGAGGAGCCCACGATCGCGTTCACGACAAGATGGCCCCTGGGCTGAACCGAGGAGATCCCCGCAGGCAATTCCTCGTGCGGGCGGTGCTGCCCACGACTCCCGTGGCGGACGTCAGCACCAGGCGCGGCCCTCATTAGGAGGTGAGTACAGTGAGCGCATTGGATCAGGAACCATAGGACAAGACACCGAGAGTCTGACAACCTGGTGGAGCACCGATTGAGGCCTTGCCATGCACATCACCACCGCCCTCATCGAATAAAGAGGCTTCCAAGGTCTAGCCCCTTCTGGACATCTTATTTTAACGAACGCCCCCACCGGAAGAACGTGAAGCAAGTCATGGGAGGTCCCAAGAAAAGGCCACCAGTCGCGATTAAGGGGCCCTAGAACCAGACTCGGCCGCATTGAGCTGGGAACTGGGCCAGACTAGACATGATCAAGTGGGAGTGAGCTGGATTGCGCAGGCTGGCTGCCGATAACGGATATTTCAGCGCCTATGCTGAACTCAAACTGCACTTATGATCGCGTGGCCTCGGTGAGCCGTCTGGCGGCCTCCCTCCGCGGTCGCGACCGGCGATCGCCCTCACACTGAGCGGGCAGACGGTTACTGTCTGCCTGGCGGCTCTCCTGGGACTCTGCCTGCCCCAGGGTTCGTTTCCGAGCCCATCCGTCACCTGAGCCCACTCGGCCACCGAATGGGCAAGATTCCACATGGACATATTGGACTTGAGCCCGGTCGGCTGCCCACTCTGCGGCAGAATAGGCTCACGTACCGAGTGGGCTCAAGGATGAAACCCAGGGGTGCACCTTCGCCCTCGCCACTGGCGACAACGTCCAAGACTGGTGGCGGCACTCGCCCTCTGGGGCAGGTGGGCCGCGCTGCGGCGCGCCATTGCTGGAGTCCACGCTGCCCTTCGCGGAGGGGTGGCGGGAAACGCCCTTGATGCTCTGCGCGGCGCCCGCCTGGTACGACGCCATCTTGTCCGCCTTGCCCTCACCCTTGCGCACCTTGACCGGCTGGGTATGCACCCAGACCGTCCGCGCCACTGCCAGGATCGCCACCACCACCTCGAAGGTGCCGCCCCCGAAGAGGGCCAGCAGCACGGCGGCAGCCACAGTGAGCGCGGGACGCCAGTCCGCCCCGCCGAGTACGAGCGCAGGAGTGCCCATAATGTTGGGCATGAATCCCTCCACGCGAGGCATCATGAATGTCGTGGTATGTGAAGAAAATGGCACGCGAGTGCCGGTAATAGCGGAAATATCCGATTGGAAAGCGCGTTGAATCAGTCTGTGAGTTCGGTCAGGCCGAGGTTCGCCTTGAGAGACAAATTGCAACACGGAGGCGTGTTTGTGTGTGTAGTATTTGTGTGGGCGTGCGCGCAGGGACCACATCTGGTTGCTGGCGTGCTGGCGTGCACCCCACTGCTCGCGGGTATGATCGACGTTTGATGTGTTGCCTTCGGGCTTCGAACTCGGTTTCGGGGCGTAGGGATCGCGCCTTTGGAGCAACGGCCGAATATTTGAACCTGAGGCCTGAAGGGATTTCGACGTGTCACATTTGAAAGCTCTGACGCCACCAATGCAGGCTTCTGGCCTGAAAAGCTTGCGAGCCTACCAGACACCTCTCTGGGGCATATATGGTCCAGGGCTTGGCCCCCCCCCCCCCCCAATGCTGATGCCATTGGGCCCCCCCCCCGCGCGATGGTCCCCCCCGCCCCCCCCTGTGGGCGTGGCGTGGTGCTGCGCTGCGGTGCCCCCCTCCCCCCCCCTGTGGATGTGGTGTGGTGCTGTGGTGGTTCAGAGTCGTCGTCGTCGTCGTCGTCGTCGTCCTCGTCGTCCTCGTCGTCCTCGTCGTCCTCGTCGTCCTCGTCGTCCTCGTCGTCGTCGTCATCGTCGTCATCGTCGTCGTCGTCGTGGTCGTCGTCGTCGTCGTCGTCATCGCCGTCGTCGCCGTCGTCATCGTCGTCATCGTCGTCGTCGCCGCCACCGCCGCCGGCGTCGTCGCCGCCGCAGCCGTCGTCGTCGTCGTCGTCGTCGTCGTCGTGGTCGTCGTCGTCGTCGTCGCCGTCGTTGTAGTCGTCGCCGTCGTCGTCGTCGCCGTCGTCGTCGTCGTCGTCGTCGTCGTCGTCGTCGCCTCTGGGACCATACCATCTGGGGGGGGGGGGCCCGAGGAATCCTGGGACCATACCATCTGGGGGGGGGGAGCTCGTGAACCCTCGACCCTGGATCACATATGACCCTCCCCAGGCCCCCCCAAACTCCTCCAGGTGCGTCCAGGCCCCGCGCCCTGGAGAGAACAGCTAACGACTAACCTGCTGCAGTGTTCGGAACAAGAGCATGTGGCACCCAGTGCATCCTGCAAACACTTGGTTTGGTTGAAACTATGTTTTGAGGATATCGGCATCCATACCCCCACTGGAACTAGCCTGGCGAAAGACCCAACCATATGCCGCCGTGGGTACCGCAAGACAAATGGAAACTAAGGGTACGTGACGAAGGCGAACGTGACTAAGGCTAGCAAGGCATACTAAGGCGTACGTGACAAGGACGGAGCGGCGTGACGTTGCTGATGGTGTCGCAGAGATCACCCGTGACGGGCTACATCTGGATGTAACCCCTTACGGCTGATCTGCGCGTCTGTAAGCGCGGCCTTGGGAGCAGCAGGCGGCGGGGCCTGCGGTGGAGCTCCCTGTGGTGTCGCGAAACGTGTGATGGGTGTGCCGGAATAGGCGCGGTCATGCATGCGAGTCTGGCCGATGGGGCCTCATGTGGAGCTCCTTCTCGGGCCACCAACTGCGTGGGCGGTGCGCCGAAATGGGCGCGGTCACATATGCGATTCCTGCTATTCGAGCCTTGGGTGGAGCTCCCAATGGGGCCACCAAACGTGTAAGGGGTGTGCCGAAATGGGCGTGGTCACACACGCGATTCCTGCAATTGGGACCTCTGGTGGAGCGACGTATGGGGCCACGAGACGTGTGAGGGGTGCGCCGACATGACGTGGAGAAGACATGTGAGCCCAGCCACTGGAGCCTCGGGTGGATCTCCCCGTGGGGGCACGCGGCGTGTGAGTGGTGCGCCGACATGGTGTGGAGAAGGCACGTATGCATGCGACCCCAGCCACTGGGGCCGTCGGTGGAGCTCCCTGTGCGGCCACGAAGCGCGTGAGGGGTGCGCCGACCGGGTGTGGAGAAGGCGTGCGAACCGAGACACTGGGGCCCTAGGTGGAGCTCCCTGCGGAACCACGAAGCGCGTGAGGGGTGCGCCGACTGGGTGTGGAAAAGGCTTGCGGACCGAGCCACTGGGGCCCAAGGTGGAGCTCCCTGTGGAACCACGAAGCATGCGAGGGGTGCGCCGAATGGGTGTGGAGGGGCCACGAAAAATGGAGAACGCATGCGAACCCAGTCACTGGGGCCTTACGTGGCACCACTTATGGGGTTACGATGCGTGTGAGGGATGCGCGAAAAAGGTGTGGAAAAGGCATGCGAACCCAGCCACTGGGGTCTCAGATGGAACTCTCAACGGTGCCCCGAAGCGTGTGAGAATTGTGCCGAAACTATATGGAGAAAGCATGTGGACAGAACCACTGGGGCCTTCGGTGGAGCTCTCTGTGCGGCCACGAAACGCGTGAGGGGTGCGCCGAAATCGGGCGGAGAAAGCATGTGAACCCAGTCATTGGAGCCGTATGTGGAGCCCCCTGGGCCACGAAACGACCGTGCGCCGAAATAGCGCGGAGAAGGCATGCGGACCCAGCCAGGGGGGCCCTAGGTGGAGCTCCCGATGGGGCCAGAACCAGGTATGCGAACCAGAGGAGGAGGAGGGGGAGGAGGAAAGAGAGAAGGAAGATCGCAGTGCAATGCGTATTCAAAACGATGATTCGAATTCACACAGGATGGTTGGGAAACAACTGTTCTGCAATCTTCGGCACACAAGACGAAACAACGAGAACCGACGAGCTCACTTGTTGAAAACGTGTGCACCTCCTCGTGCAAATCAATCGGGTTCGTTATTGCTTGTTGCTCACAAATGTCCAGCACAACCCCAACAACATACCAACGACGGTGAAGAATGTCTAGCCATGCGAACCCCCTGATACACCACACATGGACCACCTCGCTAACGTTCCCGGCGCCATCGAACGGTTACCTACAGGATGCCTCAAAGCCCGAGACCAGTTGCCCCCAACACAAAACACTCCTCGCAAGCTGTTCGCTGCCCCGTGCAATTCACATACGCTCCAACAGATGCCCCCCTCGTAAGCAGCCATTGCCCCGTCAGGAGCCTTCAAGCGCTCCTAAATGTATGATGGAGCGCTCATGTGCGCAACTCTGGGAGCCATATTATTTATCTTCCATGGTCTGCTGAAAGATGTCCGTCGCATCAGTCCCTCTGCATTCCTTAAGCGCTCCTTGAGCTTGGTCATTGGGATGTCCGACATGTATCATCAAGCGCTGCACTTGGCATGTCGGGTGAGTCGTGGAAATATGTGACATCGGACGGGTGCACATGAGGAAACGTGACCGCTCGGTACCTGGTCGCACAGATGTGACATACGTATACATGTGTATAACAATGGGTTCCAGAAATGTGTGGCGTATTAGCCTGGAATCGCGAAGACCTCTGCTGATTGTTCTGGCTTCAAGTGGAGCAGTGTGCTAGCATGGGTTGGTGAGGATAGACCCAACAATGAAACTAACGCGCTCGCGTGGGATATGATTAGCTCATCTGGGCGTAAACTACTGGCTCCCCAGAAGCCTCCCAGACCACTCTACACATAAACCCACCAGTCCAGCCCTATCCGTGGGAGGGTTTAGGAGTACAGTCACCGTGCTACCAGAAGGAACGCTGGAAACGCACGAAGGAGCTTTTCTGGACACGGCTAGCCTCGACCACGAATAGGTTCCCCGACCCAAAGGGAATCAACGGCCCGAAAACCACAGCCACTTCGAAACCAGACGCGTTCCTTAGCATACAATGATCACAGCTCTTCCACGCACCCTGTCTTCTCCTCCGGGAGGGGGATGCATCACTGCTCCTTCTTGCTGAAACACTCCCTCCCCCACTCGAGCGGCCGCCGCCAAGGGACCGGGCCGCCACGAACCACCACCACTACCATTCTTGCCAACAGCCATTAAATCACTCGCTGCGGCAAGCCCCATGAGATGTCCAATCAGTGGTGGGGGGTGGTAATGCCTTCCGCCGTGTGCTGGCCCACCTTTGCTGTCAAGAACCGATCCGCTGTGTTTGTGCGTGCGCACTCTATACACCATGCCAACCACCTCGCCGTCACTGCGTACATGTTTTTCATGGACAGTGGAGGCTCGACATGCTGCCCGATGTGTGCTGTCATATGCGCTGGCGCACCTGGCGCACTCCGCGCACGTGGCGCGCATGCTCCTACACTTCCCTGATCTTTACAACTCGCCTGGGCATTGTTTCTCGCTGGGCCGGTGGGGATGCGCGAAGCGTTAATAATACTTGACCTTTGTCAGAACCTTGTAGAACAACTCGGCTCGGAAACGATCTATTGAGCGCAATGGCCTCCCTGGCCATGCCGCACGGCCGATCAGGCCTTACGGCATATTGCGGCAGAAGGTGCCCGCGGAACTGAAAGAAAAAGCGATTGCCCACCATTGACCCCATACACCTAACTACATGCCATCAGCGAACCTCTTGTGGGTGTCACGTCGGATGGTGTGGATCTCCTTGGCGCTACAGCTGTGCATGCTCTCGACCTCGTTCAAGCAGATCTCCTCCGCCATGAACGATTGACCGCTTTTCTTGCATGCCCACGACAAAATGCTGAACGTGATGGCGCTGGCCTCGATGCCCTTGCCGGTCATTTCCCGGTACACGTCGTTCATTTCTAATCGTGCTCATTTCTAACTGTGCTCGTTTCTAACTATTCCTGGCCCCATAGTGGCCAGGAAGAGGCCCAGGATAGAGCAATTTGAAATTGAAGGATCTTGGCCCCCCAAAAATCAAAACACTTTCGAATAATTAGAAACGAACAACGTGTACACCTCCAGAACCTTCTCTGGTTCCTTACGCTTGGCTCAGCAGCTCATCAGCGCGGTGTAGACCGCGACGTCGGGTGCAGGCCTCGACTCCTCCATCTCCCTGAGAAGCTCTGTCGCGCGCTCTGGCCACATGCGCTTCTCGCACGCGCTGATCAGGGAATTGAAAGTGATCGCTTCGGGCGCGACGCCCTCCTCCTTCATCGTCCTGAACGTGTCGAGCGCCATGTCGATGCGCTTCACGTTGCCACAGGCCCCGATCATGGCGTTGTAAACGAAGCGGTTCGGGACCAGCTTATTGTCCTGGAGTTCCTGGAAGAGCTCGGCCGCCTTGTTGCCCCACTTGCACTTGCCGCAAACGCTGATGAGCAGGCCATAGGTGCTCGCGTCCGGCTCGAGGGCCAGCGACTTCTTCATGTAGTCGAAAAGGACCAGGGCCCGCTCCACCTGCCGCAACTGCTCGCACGCGGACAGGGCCCAGTTGCAGCAGATGCGGTCCACCGTGCATCCGGACTTACACATGGCATCGAACACCTGGAGGGCGTCTTCCGGCCGGCGGGCCCGCTCGCAGAGCTTCATCACCGTGGAGTAGGTCACAGCGTCGGGCGCGGGGCCCTTCGTCTGCATCTCCTTCAGCAGCGCCAGGGCGTCGTCCAAGGTCTTGTCCCCCCTCCCGCACGCATTGATCATCGCGTTGTACGCGCCGAGGTTGCGCTGGGACTGACCGCCCTGCTGCTGCTGCTGCTGCTGCTGCTGCTGCTGGATGGAGGAGAAGCTCTGCCCTGCCCTGCCCGGCTGGGGGCTCCGGTCGCAGGCGCCGGTCACGGTGCTGTAGGTGCCCGCGTCGGGCGCGACCCCGAGCCGCCGCATCTCCGAGTAGAGCTCCACGACCTTCTGGGGGTACTTGTCCTTGCAAGCGCTGATCAGGGCGCCGAACGTGTACGAGTCCGCCCGAATGCCGCGCTCCCCCATGTCCTCGTAGAGCCCCAGAGCCATGTCAGACTTGTCTGCGCTCTGGCTCCTGGAGCACGCATACATCAGCTTGCCGAAGGTGATGTAGTTGGGCTCGATCTGGCTCGCCTTCATGGCCTCGTAGAGCTCCCACGCCTTCTCGGGGTGCTGGCTATGACCCATGGCACCGATGAGGGAGGTGTAGGTCACCACGGTCGGGGAGAGACCGTTCGATCGCATCTCCTCCCAGACCTCGAGCGCCCTCTCCGGATGGCTGCCCCGCCCGCACGCGCTGATAAGGGCGTTGTAAGTGACAGCGTTCGGCGTGCACTGCTGCGCCTTCATCTCATCGAACAGCTCCATGGCCTTCTCTTGCTGCTTGCCCTTGTCGCATGCGCTGATCAGGGCCGTGTACACGCTCGTGTTCGCGGGCACGGAGCGCCGCCGCATGTCGTCCAGCAGATCCAAAGCCTCGCCACACCGCCTGTTCTTGGCGTGTTCCGTGATCGTCCGCACGTACCCCTGGCAGATGGCCTGACCTCGACGTCTGGGCTGGCCGACCGCGTCGCAGGTCAAATCCCTTGGCCCTGCGATATGAATGAGCACCCGATCGCAGCCGCCCAACGTGAACCGCCGACCGATCGCGAGCACGACAAGATGGACCCCCTGGGCGGGGGGGGGGGGAGCATCGAGCTTGAATCGGCGATGCATCGCCGATGGATCGGGCGACACGCCTCCGATGGCGAAGCCCCTCGTGCTGGGGCGGGGTGGGCCATCAGGCCCCTGTCGGCGACGAGTGCGCGCTTAGGGGGTCGACGCATCCACCCCCGAGCCTGCTCCCTTCTCGAGCTGCCCGTGCTGGTCTAAGCCGAGGGTCGGCGGTGGACAAACCTCCCTTCAGTAGACCTCCCCTTAGTGAAGACGGCCTGGGGCCGAAACCGACGGACCTGGACCCGCAAAGACGACGGCCGCGACGCCCTCTCGCGAGCCGAAAACGGCCAGTTCCTTCGTCGACGCGTCAGGGCAGGGGGCCTGTCCACCCCCGAGAGGGGGGGCCCCTCGAGCGGCTCCGCGCGTGGACGGCCGAGCCCGCCAAACCCCTGCGGCGGACGTCGGCTCCCGACGCGGCCTTCGAGCGATCGAGCAGGAGGCCTCTCAAGCAAGGGTGAAGGGGGCCCCAGGGCACACAAAGAAATACACACAAATAAAGATATTTCCCATTGTATCACATATTGTCTCAGTTTTTGTCTCCCCCCCCACACTTCCCATATTTTCCCCTATTTTCCTGGGAATCGACGATTCATTGTGTCTGTGTGTGTGTTTGTCCCCTCCTGAAAGGGGCGAGAGCCGAGACCGCGCTGCCCCGGGCGCGCCGACGGCTCCAGTCGGCGAGCGGCGGTTCTCTGCGGCCGCGACTGGCTGGCCATCGCTCGGACGTCCATCCCCTGTGCTTTGTTTCGGTTTCGTGCGTGCTTTTTTCGCCAAAACAGATCAAGGATGCTCCTCGCTGGTCCTCGCCGAAGGAAAAACGCACACGTCCGAGCGATGCCCAGGCGACAGGGCGATCGCCCCCAAGGGCAGACGCTGAGCGGGGCGGCGGCTGCTCTCCGCCTGGCGCCTCTCCCTGGCATCCGCTCGCACCTGCGCCGCCGCCGCCGGCGACAGAGGCCGAGGGACTTGGCCAAGGCCGCCCTCCGGGTGGGACGGGCCGCGCTGCGGCGCGCCCCTGCTGGAGCCCCCGCTGCCCTTTCCGGGGGGGCGGCGGCAGAAGCCCGTGGTGCTCTGCACGGCGCCCGCCTGGCAGGACGCCACCTCGCCAGCCTCGGCCTTGCCCTTGCCCGCCTTGAGCGGCTGGGTGTGCACCCAGACCGTCCGCGCCACCGCCAGGATCGCCACCGCTACCTCGAAGGTGCCCGCCCCCGAAGAGGGCCAGCAGCACGGCGGCAGCCACAGTGAGCGCGAGACGCCAGTCCGCCCCGCCAAGTGCAAGCGCAGGAGTGCCCATAAAGTTGGGCATGAATCCCTCCACGCGAGGCATCGCCAACATTACGAAAGTGTGAATGCAAAGGCACGCAAGTGCCGGTAGTAACGGAAGGATCCGGTTGGAAATGCTTTGAATCAGTCTGTGAGTTCAGTCAGGCCGAGGTTGCCCTTGAGAAGGAAATGGCAGCATGGACGCGCGGGTGTGTAGTATGTGCGTAGGCGTACGCACGGGGACCGCATCTGGTATCTTGCTTCTGCCCCCCTGCTCGTGGATATACTTTCTGATGCTTTGCCGTGAGGGGATCGGGCCCAGGGGTCATGGCGTAGGGCTCGCGCCAAAGGGCCCGAAGTCGAAGGCTTGAGCCTGAGCCCTAGCGGTATGTGCTAAAGCCCATAGTCTGAATTTGTTTCAGGGCCTGCCAGACGCCTTCCTGAGGCGCCCAGCCCAGCGTAGATCCTCCCGCTGTCTTCAGCCCACCCCGCCCCGTTGGGCAACAAGAGAGAACAAGACAAGCTACGACAACAAAAGGCACAACGAGACAACGCAAGAAAAGATATGACAGAGCAAGGACACGCGATAACCCACACTGAGGCACCCCGTTTCAACCACCCACACATAAGGAAAGAGTAGCACCGTCAGGCCCCCTGATCCTGATAACAAATATCGAGTGCTGCCCATCTGGTGTTCCATGACATTTTGCAGGCTCCTCCCTCATGCTGGTACGGAGCAACACGCATCACCGTCCACTCCCCCGCCTCTTTCGCAGCGTCAGTGACGGCACCAGTGCCGGCAGGGACGCCCCCAAAACGGCGAAGTTAGCCCCAATCATCCATCAAGACGTCTCCAAGAGGGCTTCAACACCCCGCAGACACCCAAGAAGCCCCCGAGAAGGCGCAGCGGCTTCCCAGGACACCAGTGAGGGGCCACAAACTGTAAACATCTGGAGATCGTTCAATTCGTATGCCATCACACCTGTCTTCGTCCAGCAAGACGCCCAGAGAATCTTCAAGGGACCTGGTTAGCTGCCTCCAGGAGGCCGCAAGCGCCCACTGAATGGTCCCACGATGGGTCAGGGACCCCGAAGATGGCCACCCGCACCGCCCCGAGGCGGCTACAAGGCAGCCCAGGACAAGCTCGAAGGCGGCCCCGAGACCCCTGCTAGACCGCCCCGAAGCCCGAAGGCCAGGCCACCGTCGCAATAAGCGCCCATACAGGCGACGCCCTTTAGTCACGGAAGGATGTCCAGCAATCGCCGATGGCTGTTTAGAGAACGCATACGTGGGTCGGGGTGGTTTTACCTTCCCTTGACAGCACGACCCTTCAGGGATGGGCCAAAAGCGCCCCGCTGGCCCTCCGAGAGCTCCAGCGAGGCTCCCGAGAAGCCCCCCCAGCAGGCCCGCGGGGGGAAGACAAGAATACATGCCGGATGGTGCGGCGTTCTGAGGCCTCGAAATACCACCTTGCGGCAAAGCCTGTCCCATCAACCTCCACGCGCATCCGAAGTTTGGCCGCCCAAGAGAGGGATCAAGTGTGCTCTCGCCGCAGCGCCGCGCAACGATGTTCTTGCAATGTCGCTCCCACCCGAACGCGACCCGTGCATTGTGCCCTCTCGCCACGTCGGCGGAAGCGGGACCCCGCGCGAGGGCCTTCCGTTCGCTCGGTGGGAACGCGTTCCAGTACCAAATGCCAAGTTGCGCCACCACTGGTTGTGGTATGGGAGGGAGGGTGGGACTTGGCGGACCCGCTGAATTGTTCGACCTGGCTAACTCGACCTCTTCAGGCCACTCTCTCCACCCCCGTCCCTCGCTATCCCCTTCCCTTGCCCATCCCAGCTCCCAATGACTCAGCCCTTTGTAAGACAGCTAGCACCTGCTACGACTCCATGGGTCGTGCGGATAGCCCGGGTTGTTTTCCTGTGGACCCTACGGCGGCCAACCGTCGCATGACACTCACTGCTGCCTGCCACGTGGTACGGCCTCCCTGGATCTGGGGAACAGAAATATCACAGAGTGCGATCCGCCTGAGCCTTGCGGAGAGACGTGCAACATGGAGGACCAACGCTCAGGCCTTCAGGCCTGTGGGAGAGAGAGCTGCCACTTGTGTTGGCAAGTTGGGCGATACATGGAAAAGACCGAACACACATCTTGCCTCCCTGCAGCCCAGAGGGAAGTAAGCATCGAATGCTGCCCGACACAGTGCGACGAGAACTCTTCCATGTCACGTCCCTCAGGTCCTAGGGGAGACGGGTGCGACTTGTTAAGCATTCCCCGGGCTGGGGGTGGGTGGGGGTGGGTGGGGCGAGACCTGTCCAATGTGGTTACGGCCCACTGTAGCCTCGGGAACGCCCCACGTCCATGTGGCGCCCAAAATCACCGAAGAACCCTGAGACGGCCTAGATTTAGGTCCGGCAATTGCGACTACAGGAGGTCCACGACCACTTCGGGCCAAAAAACCCAAACCAGAAAAAAAACATCAGGAAATCTTGAAACCAAAACCTGGGGAGGTCGACATCCTGAAAACAACTCAAACACCAAACCTGCGAAAAACTCAAACCCACAAATAACTTTTGAAACAACCTGGAAACTCAAACCTGGGAAACACTCAAACCAAACAAAAACTCCAGAAAATCTCTAAACCGAAACCTGGGACAAACTCTCGGAACTCTCTGGAAAAACTCTAAAACAAACTCTAAAAAACTCTGAAAACATTGGAACAACTATGGACAAAACATTAAAGGACTGAAAACTTTCACAAGCTCTAGAACAGACTCTTAAAAAAACTGTAAGCGCTTGAAAACTCAGAAAACACGTACAAACAACTCTGGAAAAACTCTAAAACAACTCTGGAAAAACTCTCTCTCTCTCTATATATATATATATATGTATATATATATGGGAAAACAACCTTCCGGGTTTGAGTTTTTTCCAGGTTTGAGCTTCACGTTTTTTCTAGGTTTTCTGTGGTTTTGAGTTTTTCCCAGGTTTCGGGTTCAAGATTTTCTGTAGTTTCTTCTGTGTTTGAGTTTTTCCCAGGTTTTGTGTTTGAGATTTTCTCAGGTCGTCTTGGATTTTGAGTTTCCAATTCAAGATTGTTTGATTTTTTGGGGGGGGTGAGTTCCCGGCCGAAGATTTTTTGAAGATTTCGGCAGGTTTTCCTATGGACCGCCTGTAGTCATTTACCGAACCTAAGCCTAGATTTCACATTCCTCGACGTCGTCCTCTGCTTCGACGACGATGCGGCAATCCCGCGAACTCATTCCGAACAACGTCCCGAAGAAATAACAAGAAATCATTTAGGTTTTGGCCGCGAGCGAACCCGCGAACTTGTGCCGAACAAACTCCTGAACAAATAGATACCATTCGCTGACTTTACCAATGCAGATACACCCTCGGAGTTGAGCTGGACAACCTCCGGAACAAACAAACACTCTCAACATGCAACGGTATGTTTTCATACTGTGATCATGTCTGCATTTTTGCATTTTTGGGGGACCCATGACCAAGCCTGCGAACAACAACAACTACGCGTTCTGCAACCAATTCGAACAAACAATCAAAGGTTACGTCAATACTAAAATTGCTCGATTAAATCGTGGTTCTGCCGCTTTATCGTCGTAATGCTAAAGAACAAACCCAAAAACATAACTATACCTATACGACCACCCTTCGGGTGATAAGGAGGTTCGGGGGGGGGGGGAACCAAGGTCTCACTCGATCGGTCTCACTATCGATCTCAGTATCGATCTCACCATCGGTCTCGCTCGATCGATCTCACTCGATCGATCTCACAATCGATCTCACTCGATCTATCTCATTCGATCGATCTCACAATTAATCTCACAATCGATCTCACAATCGATCACACAATCGATCTCACATGCGGTCTCAATATCGATCTGACTATCGATATCGCAATCGCTCTCACAATCAACGTCATCATCATCATCATCAACATCATCAGCATCAACATCATCACCAAAACCGTCATCATCATGAGGGCACCGTCATCATCATCATCATCATCATCATCATCATAAACATCATCATCAACGTCAGCATCGTCATCGGGACAACATCGTCATCATCATCATCATCACCATCATCATCTCATCATCAACATCATCATCATCATCGGGACACAGTTATCGTCATCATCATCAGCAGCATCATCAGAATCATCATCATAATCGGGACACCATCATGATCACCATCGTTCTCATCATCAACATTATCATCAACATCGTCATCATCCTCGGGACACCATCATCATCATGACCATCGCATCATCATCATCATCATCGACATCATCAACAACATCATCATCATTGGGGCACCATCATCATCATGAGCAACATCATCATCAACATCGTCATGATCATTATTATCATCACCGGGACACCATCAACATCACCATCACCATCATCATCATCATCACCATCATCATCATCATAAACATCATCATCGGGACACCATAATCACCACCATCATCATCATCATCAACATCATTATCGCCGGGACACCCTTTCCATCAACATCATCATCACCAACATCATCGGAATCATCATCATCATCATCATCATTATCATTATCATCATCATCATCATCATCATCATCATCATCATCGGGACACCATCATCGTCATCATCATCAACATAATCATCATGAGCATCATCATCCTCATCATCGGGACACTATCATCATCATCGACACCATCATCAACATCATCATCATCTTCATCGGGATCATCATCATCATCATCATCATCATCATCATCATCATCATCATCATCATCATCATCATCATCATCATCATCATCATCATCATCATCATCATCATCATCATCATCATCATCATCATCATCATCCTCGCGGGACACCGCGGGACACCGGCGGGACACCGCGGGACACCGCGGGACACCGCGGGACACCGCGGGACACCGCGGGACACCGGCGGGACACCGCGGGGCCCCGGCCGCCCGGAAGGGAATCATTTGGTCCGGCCGCGCCTCAGCCACACGGGACACCAGCGGGACACCGGCGGGACACCGCGGGCCCCGGCCGCCCGGAAGGGAGTCATTTGGTCCGGCCGCGCCTCAGCCACAGGAGACTTTCTCTCGCCCGCCCACGCAGCTTCGCCTCGCCCGCACGGCACGCACGAACACGAAACCGAAATCG